ACCAATTGGATTGTGCTGTTGATATTACAAGAACATAATGGCTTGACATATACAGAAAACTCGCATGCATAGCCGCTTTTAAGTGTTACAACTTCTGGATCAATACAAATTGTAAACTTTGTGATGTTCGATGAAATTGTGAACTGTATTTTGGTGGCGGTTTTGTTTGTGTTACCTACACACAACACCTGCCGTGTCTCTCTGTTAACTTCAATTTGCTCGATGTCAGAATTCAAGTCAATTACATTTGACGAAACACAGACACCGCCTTGAAGAGGCACAAAGTTGATGTTGGATTTGTTCATTGCAAAAAGTGTTATTGTTTTATTGATTTCATGTTTGTGAAGTTTGTTAAATGTTGTTTTTGTTACAATGACAATTGACACAATCAATATAATAAAGACAATAAGAACACATATTACCAGAACAAAAATGACCCACCAAACTATTTGTGACTCACACAATGTGCCATCTTTACTTGTGATGTACCAAAAAGCACATTTTGAACATTTTGAATTTGTGATTTCTTTGCATTTGAATATTTGTGATAGACTAACACAACTTCCATTGGTAAGTAACACAAGTGAATTATTACATGAAGTACATTTGTTTCTTGATAAAGTACATGTATTGCAGTTGTCATTGCATTCTTGACACTCATTTGTATTAATTATATAATACCCATCTTGACACTTTGAACACCCACTTTGTGTGACATTCACAGCACACCCAATAATATCACTCTGTGGTAAACAGTCACCACTATTTGTTTTGTAATTCGTTAAATTGCAGGTGAGACAACTGTATTTATTGTTACATGTTTTACATTTTTGATCACATTCAAAACAATCAAGCCCAACACGGTAAAACCCATCTTTACACGCAACACAGCCACTCCCATAACTTGTAAATTTATTACACGTTAATTTTAAGTCTTCATTCGTGTTACATTTGTAATTTGACAAAAACGTGTTATGTGGACAACTCAGGCATTTGGTTGATGTATCAAAACACGTCAAACAACTTGGGTCACAACCTTCACACTGTTTTGTCGACTCATCAAGATAATAAGTGTCTTGACATTTCATACACCCAAAACTGTTTTGTAAAATACAATTTGGTTTTTTGTTGTTGTTGCATATATTATTAGATAAATAATGTTCAGTTTCACATTCATTACATTTTCCATTTGATAGATATATACAATAATCAATTGTTGTCGTGCATTTGCCGTTTTGGTCATTTGGTAGTACACAATCATTGATTTTACATATTCCATTTGTATCCATTTGACTTGAACTGTCACACTTTGTCGCTTTTCCATTTTCACACAATTCTGAATATATGTATAAATCATTGCATTTCAAACAATTTGTTGTGTTGGATACAAAATTTTTATTACAAGAAACAATGTTATAGTTTGTTATTACTTCACTATTTTTATCGCTTTCTACACACTTGCCATTGTTGTTTATGCACCCATTGTTGGTTGTGCATATTTGGCACCTTCCGCTTAATTGCACAGTTATACAAGTTTCATCACTTACACATAAACCATCTTTCAATGAAAAACCAGTTGCACATTTTAAACACCTATTTGAAAGAGGTAATTCACAATTTACAATGTGTTCACATTTTGAGTTAACAAGAGCAAATTGACTTTTGCATAAAACACAACTGTTTTTATTGAAGGGACAATACTTACAATTTGCATCATTACAAATGGTAAAATCTTCACATCTTTGAGTTGTTTTAATGTATATTCCATTTGTGCAACGAATAACAACTTCAAGTATTTTAAAGCCATCTTTGGTGTTTAATGCTGCGTTGAATTGTACACCTTCAAAATTTAATTTTGTTTCTGTAATCAAAAGAACTGTCTTTGTCAATGAAAACAATTTAATATTAATTGTTTTTGGTGTTGAAATATTAAGAACTATACTGTCCGTTTTGTATAATGAAATTTGTGTGTTTCCAATCAAAACACTTTCTGATGAAAACTCATCAATACTTTTTAAAAGTGTTTTTGAACTTGTTTTAATTTTATTAATTTCAACAAACAATGATTTTACATTTGGTAGTGGAGCGATATACCAGTCTTCTATGTCATCACATGGACAGTAAGGTTCACTGTATTTAACAATTTTGTTTGTCACATCCTCAACATGGCAAAATATTTTATTAGAAGTGCCATATCTCAATAATTTACCTCCTAATAACATTTTTGTACCAGCTACAGATGAATAAATTTTTACCATCTGTGAACATAGTATATCAAAATCATTTTGTGATTGCACTTTAAAATTTGTTAAACTCACTGCATTTAAACCCGAATAAAATACAACAGGAAGATCTCTGATATCCCTGTTACTTACTTCAAGTATTGAGTTAAAAAATACAAATGTGGTACTCACGTTTATATAAGAATTTCCAGTCACATTGAGTATTGCCGAATAAGAGTTATCCCCTTTACCACCAGATTGATACGACTTTGTGTTAATCTGTGAAAAATGTGCCGTTCCATTCAAATTTATTATTCCACCTCTTTTGACATAAATTCTCTCGGCGTTGTTTATTTTCGAAAAATCGTTCAATAATAAATATGACGTTTCAACTTCAACTAAATTTGAACCCATATTTATCTCAGAGTAATCCTTCAATGAAGCGTGTGCATTTTTATATAAATTAAAAAATGTGATTCCATTAATTTGTGTGTTTAAATTCATGACCAAAGTTGCCGAATAAAAACACAATATAAATGTTGAATTTATTATAGAATTATCGTTCATTGTTAATGTAGACTTATCATTAAAGAACAAAACTTTATTTATTTTAATTACTGTATTCTGATTCATAACAACTAATGCATTCTCATATGTGAAAAAATGACCTTTAAAATAAATAGTAGCACTGTCTCCAATTGTTAATTGAGAGTATTTCCAAAAATAAATTTCTTTTTTGGTTGTTAATACAGAATTTTCATTCATAACCAATTTAGATGAATGGTATAAGTTTGTTACTTGTGTCAGATGTAGGTTTGCATTTTCTGATAGCACAATTGAACCACAACCTATACAATCAACATTTTCATTTGTATGAACATTTGCATTTGATACCATTTTAAATTGAATGACATCCAGAGATAAAGTTGTACCAATAGTAATTTTGTTGATTGCTGTACATGTATCAGACACTGTCGTATTTGTCAAAATTATGTTCGGAAAACTACAACTTTGTGAATATGTGAAATAAATAAAAGTAAAACATAAAAATATATAAACAGGTATAAACAACTTATTCATAGTTTGATTTTTTAGTTTAAACTATGATTTTATAAAGTCGGTCTTTTAACATTATTTGGTGGACAAAAAACTTAATTGTGTCTAAACATCGGGTATTAGAAAAAACTTAAAAAAATTTGAAACAATTGGAATGTTTTTTAAAACGGCTTTTTGAAACATTCCAATTTTTATTGTCCAAAATACGAGATAACATTTAAAGACTGACTCTATGTTATATATATAACTTATATAACTTATTTCGACTTAACTCATTGTAATAATTTTTAATTTTTTATAAAATCAAATTAATTAAAAAACGAAAGATTCTTGAATATTCATTGATATTTTATTAGAATGAATAAATTGATTTGTATTTAAATGATAATTTTAGAAAAATAAAGCTTTAAAAAATTAATTTATTATAAATAAAAATTTATTGTGTTCATTTAAAATTTATTGAATAATTAAATTTTAAACAACTTTATTATAATTTTAAAAAAATAATTGCCTTGGAACTAAGATGTGAGTAATTATATAATTAAAATTTTTAATAATACTAACATTTAAAAAACAATCGAAAACTATAAAAATGTTAATTAAAATTATCATTCAATGCAAACTCTCAATGTCGGTACCAAAACAATGAAACAATAATTTACAACAATTTACCATAATTAAAAAACATTTGGAAAAATTCTATGACTGTATTAATCTTTTGTTACATCTGTTTCTTAAATAATTGAATCATTTTTTTAATCATTTTTCTTTTCAAAAACTCGTGGTTCGGCTTTTATTGTATATTGGTATTCGTTTGTGCCAGAATAAAATGAACAATGTATTTGTAAAATCAAATTAATAGTTAAATATATAAAATTTTGTTCGTATCATTGTTTAATAACATTTGTTAACAAATGTTTTATTATTAAAGTCTGTCCACAGATAGTAGAAAAATAAGGTGTCAGGAATAAATTGGGTGTCAAATAAATTAGGGATTAGTTAATGTAAAAAAATGGGTTTCGTATTTTTTATTTTTTCCCCTCACAAAAAATATAAAAAACCATTAAATAACTCAAAATCAATCTGACACCCAATTTATTCTTGACACCCAAATTTTCTACTATCTGTAAATTTTTTGTCCGCTTGTAAATTGTTGTCCAAGTGAAAAAAAATTACATAAAATAAATTTAAAAAATAGGAATTAAAAAACGTTTAAAACAAGGTAAAAAATTATAAAACATTGTTTTGGGAGTGTTTTGAACAGTTTTCCCAAAATATCCCAATTCTAACGGTCTAAAAATGTAGGTACAACTTTGTGAGCGGACAACGTTTCTATATTTTCATATATAGCTGGACCATCAACCTTCTACCACTTGTTAACTTTAGCCCTCCAAAAAACCAATTATTTTTTATTGTTATATTAAACCAATAAACTATACATTAATAAAAGTCAGTTTTTATATTATTTGTTATTTTAGTAAAAACCCGTGTTTTTTTTAAATATAAGAATTTTTTTTGGGTTAAAGTACATTTTTTTACTGTATGTTTTTATATCATAATTTTAAATATATAATGTTTTTTGTTTATTTACTATTTGTATAATGACTCTAACAAGTAAAATAATCAATTGTTTAACATTTAATTGTATAGTTACATTAAATAATTTTGAGTACAGTCTGTCTTTTAATGTTATCTGGTCTCAAACGTTATCTGGTGCCTTCTGGATCATAAAAATGTAATAATTCGGGGAGCAGTACCAAAAATCCATCCCAATTGTTTCGGGTTTTTTCACGTTTTACCTAATGCCCGATGTTTAGACAAAAATGAAGCTATTTTTGTCCACCGGATAACGTTAAAAAACTGACTCTAGTACAATACATGAACCATCTCATTATCATCACTGTTTAATACAAGACTGTTTTTCAAATGTTTATTATTAAACCGTTTTACCGTTTTTTAAGTAATTAAAAACAATATTTTTTATATTAAATTATGAAATTCTTGTTATTTATGTTTTTCATTAAGACAAGTACAGTCAATATTCGATATAAGGGAGAAAAATAAGAGGAAGCCCTTATATCGAATAATAGAAAAAAAGAATAAAAAAAAAGAAATTTATGTGTTTGCTTTTTGTTGGTTATTTCAATTTAAAAACCCAAAAATGGTAATAATTAAATTAATTTGTCACTAAGTTAAAAAGTCAATTAAATTAAATTAATATAAAAACTATGTTTTATTATATTTTTAATAGAACATTTTTAATTAAAATAAACAAAATATTATAATTATAATAAAAATAGCTAAACAAGAAAATTTTATTTTGAAATAATACAATGAATGTATTTGCATTCTTTCAAAAAGTATACTTTCCTTGACAACATAATAATCAATTGGTATTCCCGCTTTACGAACTTCATGAAACCAATTGATCATTGCTTCCTCAAGTTCCAGGTTCTGTAATTTTCTTATTTGTTTATACGAGGATAAAAAATTATCAATGTTTCTTTAGAAATTGAACGCAAATGATAAACTTGCTTTGGAGAAATTACTATTTTCAGTTGTTGTCTGACAACTTCGATTACTTTTTGTGAATTTTGATAAGGATCAATTAATTCAATAATTTTTATTTTGTCTCGTAACATCAATGATGTTCTTGTTTTAACACATTTGGATTGCATTAAAACTTAATGATTTAACAGATTTATTTGAAGTTTTTAAGTCGAAACAAAGTTAGATACAAAAGTTTTATTTATTATGTTAATTGTGTTAATATATTTGTCTTTGTTTTTGATTTATTATGAAATTTATTATTTATTTAAGATAAAAATAATTGCCAATTGTTTTCAAGATATAGGCAAAGTGTTTATTTTGGTTAGAAAAAAAAATAATAATCAAAAAAATATTTTTGTGACAAAAAACAAACCAAGGTATTTTTTTGTTAATTATACAATTTTTCATTTTTCCCTTATATCGAATAATGACTGTAGTTGAATTTATCATTTAAATATCGAGTTATGATCTACGTTATTTTATTTAATTTTTTGTTGTTGTTTTTGTTATTGTTTTTGTTCAAAAAAATCCTCTTTGTTGAAAGTAAAAAATAAAGAAAAATTAAAGTTACACACTAATTCAGAATGACTTTAAATATTATTTCCCACAATAAATTAAATAGTAAATTGAAAAGAATATTATATATTTATAAATATACCTTTTGGTTTGACAAAATATAAAATGCCATTCAATGTTCAAATTGTAACAGTTATAACAATTCTGTTTTTTTAAATAAAGATAAATTTCATTAAAATCCTCATTATAATTGAAATTAGTAATGAATTGTTTTTAAAACCATATTTATAATTATTTAAAAATATACTAAACTAAACTTCATAAAATACCTCTTTAAGTACATTTTATATTATCAATAATTTACAATAAATTATTGATAACACATCAATTTAGTATATTTATAATTAACAAATAAGTTTGTAATATAATAGATATATATAATATAATAAAAATTAAATAGTTGAATAATACAACAAAAAATAAATGTGTCGTTTTTAATTAATTTTAAACAGTTTATTATAATAAGAAATAGTATTTTTTCCATTCAGATTTAATTCCTTACACGATTAAATCAAAAAAAAATTAAATTTAAAAATTTTTCAAAAAATTCAAACAAATTATGAATTCGGCATTAAAAAATTTTTTTTATAGAAAAACGTTGTCAAAAAACCACAAGAAAATCTTCAGAACTCAAAAGAACTCAAATTTCCCAAAAATCACAATGCAAGTCACTACGCTTCCCATCTTTTCTCAAGGCGAACTATATACTGCCGACCCCGTTGACTTTTCTCCGCTTCACCAAGAGATTTCCCAGAGTAGTGGGGACTCTATAGCGAAGCAAGCCATCGATCGCCTTTCCGAGTTACACAAGTCCTTTGAGAGTTCCTCCTCATGTTCCATAGAGTCACTTTTAGAGTACGACTCCCTCCTTACTCATTTATCCCGAGCACTTCACGACACTTTGACTTTGACATTCCGCTGGAACATTCCCATCTACACATCAAAGAAGACTGGGACTCTCTTTATCACAAAGACGACGACAACACTGAACTACGACCAAGTCGCCTCTTCCTCAATTTCCTTTGAAAAGGCTCACGTCTTATATAATGCGGGTATTTTACTCTTCCGCGTTGCTTCCTCACAAGCCTCCGCTCAGTCGAGTATACCAGAAGCTATCAAAACCTTCTCTCAAGCGTCTGGCATCTTTTCCGAGACGGTCTCGCTTGCGGACAAATGTGGTCTTTCCCGCGAAGCGGAAGATGCGCGGAAGTATCAAGCTCTTTCCCGAGGCTGTGCGCAGTTGGCGTTCTATTTAAAGGCGTTAGCGGCGAATTCCTCGGTGGTTCTCCGTGAGAAGATCATTGGCGGAGCTGTCGAGTTACTACAGAGTTTTAAAGGAGGTAAAAGTACTGAAAGTGGAGGGAAGAACAATGAGAGGGCGTTGTATGTGTACGCATACTTTCTGGCGCGGGTGGCTGCTGGGATGGTAGCTGAAGAGGATGTCGAGTATGGAGTAGCCATAGCTCAGTATAGTGAAGGGGTGAAAGAGATTAAAGAGACCTCATTAGCTAATGAGACGTATGTGAAGGAGGTGAAGGACAAATTAAATAGTTTGAAGAAGGATAATGAAGAGATTTATATGTCGAAAATCCCGGAGGTTGTACCGGCTTTACAGAGTCGTGTGTGTGTCAGTGATGTGTCGTATGAGCTGCAAATAGAGGAAAGTCCGTTCAAGTCGATCGTCCCACCACAACTGAGAAATGCACTGAACAAGTACAAAAGTGAGTCGTCGAAAATTGTCAGCGACACGAAGACGATGATACCCAATTTCACACAACAAGGCGACGAGGTCGTGCAAGGAATTAATTTGAGGAGTTTAGAGACGAAGGTGGAGAATATGAAGAACATGCCGAATAGTTTGAAGATCGTTGTAGCTAAAGTGAAGAACTGTGGTACTCCGGAGGACGCATTAAAGATGTTGGATACTGTGAATGAAAGGATTAAGAAGATTAGGAGTATGATGGACGAGATTGATGACGTTATTACTCATGAGACGGGTGAGGAGAATAAGAAAAGGAGCGAATACAAAGACCTGTGGAAGAGACAAGTGTCAGAGGTGTACTGGCAGGAGATAGTGAGGAAGATGAATGTGATCAAATCGGCTGTGGACGACGCCAAATTGGTATATAACAACGGAAAGAGTGAAGTTTTGAAAACGAAGAATGAAGTCAGTGTGATGGTGGCGGGGGAGGAGGCGATACTGAAAAACATTCCCGCGACGGAGGGAGACAAACTGAAAGAAATGGTTTTGCAAATGACAGAGCTGTTTGATCGGTGGGCGTTGTTAAAAGTAGCACGGGAGAAGTTAGTGAATGGAGTGATAGAACTTGAGTCGACGCATCAGAAGGGGCTTCTTGAGAGCATCAAAAGTACAGGGGACCCCGACTTGTTTGTGATGAATTTATTAAAAGAGTTTTCTGAGAAGACTGGGGAGGTGCAGACGTCATTAAATGAGCAAGCGAATTTGATAGGAGAAATTCAACAACTGAACGGCGAAATTGGTAAGTTTGTGTCGAGCGCGTTGGACACGCGAGGCGCCGTGTTTGTGGAATATCAGAAGAGCGGGGAAAGCTTTGTGGACGTGTACAATAAAATCGTTGAGAAGGGAGTCTTCATGGAAAACGTTGAAGAAGACGCGGAAAGTTTAAAACGAGAGGCGAAGAAGTGTGGAGAGGCGAGGAAGAGAGAAAGTGAAGAGGTGGAAGAACACGCGAAAGAGGAGAGGAAGAGAATTGAAGAGGAAAATAAGAAGATCGAGGAACTGGGGAAGAAGATGCTGGAAGCAAATTTGATGAGTCAAAGAAAAGAAGAAGAACAAGGAAAAGGGGAAACACAATATCAGATGATGCAAGGGCAGGGAAGGGAAGAACATCTATATGCTAATGCGTCTGGACAGGCGCAGGGAAATGTGGGACAAGGACAAAATGTGGGGATGCAAAATCAAAGTGCTGGAGGAATTCAACAACAACAAAATTTAAATCCGTATCTTTCACAATATCCGACGTCTGCTGCACAACAATTTGATAGTAACAGTTTACAAAATCAACAACAAGGAAATGCAGGACAACAACAACAAAACTCGGAATATTTGAGTCAATACCCCTCGTCGACTGGGAACGCAAATCAAATGCCAGTGAATGCAACACAACAACAGGCGCCCCAGTATCAAAGTCAATATCCCACTTCCACAGCTAATCCACAAATGAGTCCACAAATGGATCCTAATATGATGACCCAAAGTTATGCCCCACAATATAATCCATATCAAAATAGTATGCAACAAAATAACTTTGTCATGGGCCCACCAGGTGTACCAACTATGCCGGGAATGTATGGAACAGCACCAGGGTATGCAAATGCACAATACCCGGGACAACAAACACCAGTCGGTGTTTTACCACCACCAGGAATGCCGTATGGTGGGATGCCGAATGGATATGGGGCACAACAGTACCCAACACCTTACGGAGGATACACGATGTTCTAAGAAGGTCGTAATAATATTGTTCTTCAATTTTTTTAGTTGAAGTGTTATAGGGTTTTATACCTTTTTAATGGTATTTGTAATATTGTTAAATTGGATTAATAATCACGTAAAAAGGATTATTTCATAAAAGTTATATGTGTTATCATCAATTTAATCAACATACTTAATTATATTAAAAATTTATAAAAAACAACTCTTTAATTTATTGATATTAACATAATCAAAGGAATGAAAACAATTTTCATCATTTCAAACAATATGAATGAAATTAACTCTGTATTATCATCGTGTTTCAAAGAATTTTAATTGTAGTTTATAAGAATCCAAATACGACCATTAAAATAAAAAGAACAATACGTCATTTATTATAAAATAGTAAGAAACACTCAAATGTTTTATAAACAATCACTTATTCAATGTGTTATCTGGTAAATATCTATTATTATAAACGAGACTTATAAATAAGAAAGAACAAAAGTACATTATAACTTTTGGTATTAGAAATTGTTATAATCGATAATTAATAAAATAAATTTTATTAAAATTAATTAATTCCAAACTATTATTAGACATAGAAACTTTTTATATACAAATTGATAATTTTAATTGTTTGAAAGAAAGTTCGGTCACTTTATAAAGTATACAAGTCGACTTATTTCAACAATCAAAAAGAACATATTTTGTTGTGTTAAATTGTGATTATAAACAAACTATAATTAATAGCTAATGATACAACAATTAACAATACAAATGTATTATCTCCATATGTATTATTAAAAACAAAAGAGTTCCCAAAAGTGCATTTTTATATGTAACACTTCTTTTTAAAAAATACTTTTAGCTTAAAAAAAACTTCTGTACTAAAAAACTGATTTTTTCCAATTTTGGTATAATAAATTTATAGTATAATAAATTATAAAATATAGAATAACTATAAGCAAAACTCCACTCGATTCATTCGCACAATTTATTTAATTGGTTCAATCAACTGAAAAAAGCCGAATTGTCTAAAATAGCAAAAATACACTAAAAACAATTACAAAAATTTTTTATAAATACGAAAAAAACCAAAAAATAATAATCTATTGATGTTTGTGTTATCACTTGTTACAGTGCTTTTTATTTTGGTTGAAGATGTAAAAGCCGCTTCAAACTGGTGCGAAATAGACGGCGTTATTCGTTATATTTCTTATGAAAGTGAATGTCTCAGATCAAATTGGTACACTGAATCGAATGTAACAACAATGTGGATTAAAATGAAAACTGGGTGTTGTTTAAATGAAATGATAACATTTGATGAAACCTTTGGTAATGGCACAACACTGACCAAATCGTTTTATTTTCTTGATAACAATTACATAAATATCAAAACACTGTTTATCAGAGAGTCTTCTCAAGATGTCCAAATTCTTGTTTACGAAAGAGCACGACCAGAAGGTCTCTTTGTTTCCTTTGGGTGTTATAATGGAAACAAGAATTGTCGGACAAGTGTTAACAGTTCGACTCCATCAAAAATAGATTACAACCAAAAGGGCATTTCTCTCTATTCTGATATCGATCAAAAATTCTGGATATGGTATTATCTTCCAAATGCAAGACAACCAGTACAACTATTTATAAATGGAGTAGTCAAACAAAGTGTTGTATACCAATACATGGTCAAGATTTCACTTGGAGAACCATACAGCAAAAAACGGTTTTTATTCACTGGCAATTCCGATGAAAATATGATCAGGTTTGAAGAAGGGTTGACAACAGGCACTTTTATTCCCAAAGCTGTGTGTGACCGTTTTGGGTATAAAAGGTTCTTACTCTTCAAAGAAGGTGAAAACTATGAAAATGTTACAACCAGGGATTGTACTTGTCAAAGAGAAGGCGTGAAGCTTCTTAAAAATTATTATTATAATTACCCCGACTGCGTGTATAATAGTTCGTTGTTTGATTTGGCTTTAACTAATCTTACAACATATAATTGGAAAAGTATCACCATATCAATTGAAATCACTGATTGGTATTCGGTAATATTTGCACCCGATAAATTCTGGACTTTTATTAGAGAATATGAAGATGTTAAATATCTCAATTTCACTGTTTTTGATATGAAAGAACAAGTTAATGTCGAATTCCAAATGAGTGTGTACATCAACAAATTGATTATTAGTTCAATTGGAAATTACTATTTTATAGAAGACGTAGTGATAAATACTGTTGAATACAAAGAAAGTCTAAGGAATAAAGTCTTGTTTTCTGTTGATGGAAAACTAGTTAGTAATGATGGAAACTTAAATCGTTGTGGAAGAAGAGCCTTTTATAGCAAAAGTGATGACGTGGTATGTTTTTGCAATTACACAAACAACAATTGGGAACCAAATACACTCGATTTAATAAATCAAAATGACTGTTTTAATGACACAAAGAGGGCGGAATTAACACTGCAAATAGATTCAAATGAATATGAAACAACTTCAATTGAAAATTGGGGGAAAATAATATTTAAAGGGATTAAGGTGAAAGTGACTGGAAGTTCGACACTTTGTGGACAAAATGTTACAGTTCAAAATACAGTTGCAATACACAATAAATTAGAAATTCAAAATACACTCTTTCTATCAGAAAAGTCGAATTTGGTTGTATCAAATAAAGGAGTTTTGTTACTCAAAGAAAGCAGTACAATTTATTTTCAAAACTTAAGCAACAAATTAAATAAAAATGGAACATTTCAAGTGGAAAGAGGAGGGAAAATAGAAATGGCCTACACACAAAAAATAGAGTATTCACCTGATACAATCAACTGTTTTGAGTTAATTTCATTTGAAGAACAACAAAACGCAACTTCCTTTTCTTTAAGTGACAATTTGATTGATGGCAAATTGCTCAGAATTTGTCAAAAAGGAGAAGTGGAAGACGTCTCCACTCAATGCAATTTAACTTCATCGAATTTATTGAATCACAACAATTATGAGGGAAATGTCCTTCACTGCCCCATAAACAACACAAATTCAAAAATTGTAATAAAAATTGACAAATTTGAACAAAATTCAAATTATAAAGGAACTTTTCAAACAGAAAAAGCACTCTCATTTCTGAAGAGCAAAAATTATGTGACTAATTTTGAAGAAGTTGAAGAAAGAGTGTTATTAGTTGATAAAAACTCGATAAGTGGAGGAGAAATCACTCTTTTTGGAAATACAAAGAAACTCTTTTTAGGAGAAAAACACGGGTTTCTAATTTCAGTCAAAAAAAGTTTTAGGGAAACAAATGAAGTGACAAAAGAAGAACAAAATTCAAAAACAGTGATTTTTGACACTCAATCTATGTGTATAGGTTTTGAAGTATGTGACGACGTGGCAACACCAGAAAAGTGTTTGTCGTGTAACAACAATTATTATTTAGAAAATAACAAGTGTAATGCGATATCAAACAAATGTGAATCAATTCACAAAAATACGCAATTTTCGATATGTGAAAAGTGTCAAATGAAATTTGAGGCTTCAAAATATTTATGTTTGGAGTGTTCTACAAATTGTTTGGAATGTTCAAATCGAAAATGCGTTTTGTGTGAAAACAATAATTTTTTGAATGAAAGTGGCGATTGTGTTCACATTGAAAAGGAAGAAAAATATCTTTTGTACCATGATAATGTTGCTCGAAAATGCTCACAAGGGTATTTCAGTACTCAAGAGAAATGTGAATTATGTGGAGATAATTGTTTGTCATGTACAAATGCAACAAATTGTGAAATTTGCGATTCAAAAACACAAAGAACTTCTGAAGGAAAATGTGAAGAACAAAACAATTCAGTTCTCGTTTCAAATGACAACATTTTGTATTGCCAAAAGCACTATTATTTGCATGAACAAACATGTCAACAATGTTCTTTGGAATTTGGGATTTTATGTGAAAAGTGTGATAATAAAGGGTGTATCAAATGTTCCGAAAATGGGATTTTAAATTCCAACAGAATTTGCATTGAAATTGAGTCAAGTGGGTGTACACAGACTCGGAATTCGTATTGCCAAAGCTGTGAGTTTGTGAATGACACAATTAACGATTTTGGTGTTTGTGAACTTTCACAAAATTGCTCAATTTCAAACAAAAATAAAAATTGTCTGACATGCGAGAACAACTTTTTTTACACTCACAATTTGAAATGCGAAATGTTAACATCTCAAACACAAAATTGTACACATTTGACAATAGAAGGAGACCGTTGTTATTCATGTGAAAAAGGATGTCACATGAGTGATTTTCAATGTCAAAAATGCAGTGAAAATTGCGATGATTGTCTGTATGTGTTAGATAAAGAAGTTTGTCTGAAATGTTCTGACAATTATTTTTTGGACACCAATGGAAATTGCACAAAAGTGTCTGATATGTCAAATAATTGTCATAAATTGATTGAAGGTCTCTCTCTGTGTGCCATTTGTGAGACTTCATATTTCAGAAACGCGAATGGAATATGTGAAAATTGTTTAGAAAACTGCACGGAGTGTAATCAAAGAAATACATGTCTGAAGTGCCAAAAGAACAACTTTTTACATTCTACTTCTTCACATTGTATTTCTTATGATTTTCTATTAAATTGTGAAACAAAAAGTTCGGGTGGGTGTTTGAAATGTTCCAATGGGTATTTTATTGATAGTCAGTTCTGCACTTTGTGCTCTTCGAAAACGACGAATTGTACACAATGTGGGAATTATGGCATTTGTGAATTGTGTGAGGACGATTTTGTGTATGTTTCGAGTCAATGCGTCCATCGAAGTAAAGTTGATAATTGTTTAAAAGTTGAATTATCGAAATGCACGAAATGCACATTTTGGCATCTTCCAAATACAAGTAAGACTTTATGTGAAGAGCATGTAGTGTGGTGGGTACTCTTTCTTGTTGTACTTTTTGTAATTATAATTATAATTGTTGTTATCTCAATCACAATTCTTATAATATTCAAAGTGATTGAAATGAAGAGGGAAGAAAAGAAAAGAAAGACGATGTGTCTATTTACAATGAAGAAATCGAATATTGAATTTATGAAAACTTTGAGTAAAGATGTGGTGACTAATATGACGGAAATACTTTTTGAGAGTGAGACGTTTGGAGATATTGAAGTCGGCAAGAAAACAAGGGAATTAATCTGTGTTGGGAACATCTCTAAAAACACAATAAAAGTGCAATTCTCGGCGAAAGGAAACAGTTACAAATATTCAATAAAAACAAAACCCCAAATTGTGGCAATACCAAAAGGAAAAGCGTGTGAATTTGAAATCTTTTTGAAGCCAAATTGTTCGACTCAAATTGATGAAAACATTTCACTATTCTCTGCAAATTTGACAACAGGAGAGACGTCTGAAATCAGCATTAAAATATGCGCAAAAACAGTCATTTCAACACGACTTGATCCCGACGAATTAAAGGAAGACAAGAAACTTGGTGAAGGATCTTTTGGTATTGTGTACAAAGGGACTTTTAGAGGAAATGTTGTTGCTATTAAAAAGATGAAAGAATTTTCAGAGACGGCAAAAGCAATAGAAGAGTTTGAGAAAGAAGTGCAGATGTTAGATAAATTTAGATGCGAGTATATCGTCCACTTCTATGGCGCCGTGTTCATACCAAGTAAATTCTGTATGGTCACCGAATTTGCTCAATTTGGAAGTTTACAAGATTTGATAAAACACAAAACAAGTGATGAAGTATCTTTTCATATAAAAGTTAAAATATGTGTAGATGGTGCAAAAGGAATTTCGTATTTACACGAAAATGGGATATTACACAGAGACATCAAACCAGACAATTTCCTTGTGTTTTCACTCAAGGAGAACGAATTGGCAAATGCGAAATTGACCGATTTTGGGAGCTCAAGAAATGTGAATAGTATGATGACTAACATGACTTTCACTAAAGGTATTGGTACACCAAAGTATATGGCTCCTGAAGTCTTGAATAAAGAAAAGTACAGAAAAGAAGCAGACGTTTTTTCGTTTGCAATTACTATGTTGGAGTGCTTTTTATGGTGTGATGCGTATCCAAAAGAACAGTTCAGGTTTCCGTGGAATATTGCTGATTATGTAACATCAGGAAAAAGAATAAACAGAACTGATAATGTTCCAGAAAACGTATATAACATTATTGAAAAAATGTGGGGACAAAATCCAGACGAAAGGTGTGAAATTAAAACTGTAATAAATCTCTTGGAAAAATGAGAGACATTAATATTTGAATTTAAATTGAAAACAATTAATTTAACTCTTTGTTGTTTTATTAATTTAATTAATAAAACAATTAATTAAAAAAATTAATTATTTTATTATAATAATTATAATAAAACCAAACAAATTTCACAAAAACAAAAAAAGTTTTTCCAATTAAATATTTTTTATAAAAAAAACAAACTATAATTTATATATAATTATGTTATAAATTATGGTAAAAAATATCAAAATAACTTTTCAAACAAAAATTCGACTCTAATTAACATTTTAAGTAATATTGAATATTTAGTAACTGTCTAAAAGTTATTATTTAAATTAAATTTTATAGTACAAACACACATAACATTCTATTTTAATACAATCCAGAATGTTATTTACACATAAAATAAAACTAAAACAGAATAATTTATATAATGTCAGCAACATTATCTCTTGTTGTTGTATTAATACTATTTAACTCTGTCAATTCACAGAAGCTCTCTAACAATTATTGTGAATATGAATGTTCACGAAATATCGTTTTAATAACTTACTATGAAAATATAAACAAATACAACCACTGCATCTATATGGGGTTATTTGATAATTATAATTACAATTATAATGTATCAAATTTGGTTTTTGACTCAGTAGTATTAAACGATTTAGGTATTGTCGATTCAAATGTTACTTCCTTGACAATTCTTAATTCAACAATTTCAAGTCTATTGATGTCTAATAATAACATGGACTCTATCAATATCACAAACTCTGTTTTGTACAAAGTGTCAATTCAGGAATTCTATTTAGAAGATTTGACAATCACAAATACTAAAACTAATTCAAACTTTATTTATGATATGGTATTTGATCGCTTTGTCATCACCAACACTACTTTTATTTCATTGGATATTCAAAACTCGGAAATTAAGACAAGTTATCTTCCAAGTGTTATTCAAGACTCTGTAGTGTCTCAATATATTTCCCAAAACAACACAATAAATAATATCGAAATTAACAATGTCAAAATATATTTAAATTTAGGATTTGAGACATATAGTAATATATATGTTGATAATTCATATTTGGAGTTTAAACACGCTGCTTATTTTAATTGTTATAATAGCAATTTCAAAGACACAGAAATTATATTTATAGACGTCAGTGATACAATTTTCATTGCTATTGATTTCTTCAGTACAGATATCACAACACACGTGGAAAAAGATTTTAATACAATAACATTTAACTCAACAAATTTCTTTAATTCACATGTTAACTCAGTTTACTACGAAGAAGTCAGAGGAGACTTTGTTATTGGAATTGACAATACATTGACTCAAACTGATATAAACAATTCTAAAAAAGAAATTAAAATAATTGTTATTGGTGTAACTTATGGGGTAAGTGCTTTGATAGGAATGACTATGCTTTTAATATTAATATTTTTCCTTTGGAAAAAACATGGGTATAACTGTTCTGTGGGGTATTATTAAACTGTTGTTTTCCATTAAATAATTCAAAATTTCAGTACAATTTTTTTCAAAATAGAGTTGAAGGGAAAAATCGGCTCGATAAGGAAACAAAATAACTATAATAAATAACTATTTTATTTTAGTTTTAGATTTTTTTTACATACAAAAAATTTGTTTTTTGTAAAAAAAACAAATATTTTTTCATCGTTTAGTTTTAATTTATTTTATTTACTATTTTTCCTTTTCGAACCAGATTTATTTCTTCCAACTCTATAAATTATAATTAACCAGTACAATGAAAAGGGTTTATTTGTCGCGCAATTGGCCAATCATTTTGGTTTACGACAATTGTTGTTTTGTTCTCAAATATGTACCTTTTGTTGAATTTAAACCAATTTTTTACTTAAAATAAAATTCAATATTTAAACAAATTTTTTATAAAAAATTCTCTTAACACTTTAAATAACATTGAACAAAATTCAAGTGGTCTAAAAATCGGGGAAATGTCGAGTTTATTAAATAAATTTCCGTTTTTTAGAGTTTATTTTATGTGTATAAACTATACACAAGCCAAAAAAAGGAAAAGCATCAAAAATTGGATTAATATCCCTGTAAAAATAGGCCAAAACAAAAATAAGGGCGTTATTTTAAGTGTTAAATACGACAAATAAATTATTTTTTGTGCAAAGATCTCGCCAAATAGACGCCTTTTGCTGTATTTTTTTGTGCGTTTATATTTCCATCAACTTTTTACATGAAAGACCCAATTACCTTTTTCTGTAAAATATTGAAAAAAAAGAATAAACAAATTAATTATTAATATAATATATAAATTAAAAATATAGTATATAAATAATAAAATAAATATTAACCATACGATACTGTTAGTGTTTTAATTAAAACACATTTTTTTTATTTTTTTGTAAAAAATGAGTCTTGTCAAAATAAAACAATTTTCAAAATACAGTAAAACCTCCCAAGAGCAGTACCTCTGAAGAGCGGGTTCTCTCAAGAGCGGGCATTTTTTAGACTAAAACTAAAAATAGAGTTCTCTATCGAGCGGTAATTGAGGTTTGATTAACTAAAAATGCCCGCTCTTGAGAGAACAAAATTCCCACGCCCTCCCACTCTTGGGAGGTTTTACTGTATCTAATATCAAAAATAAAAATGTTATTGAATTAACTAACTTAACACAATTTTAAAAATTATGCAATTATAACACGGTATGTGCTTTTTTGTTTAAGGATTTTTGTTTAATAAGTAATTAATGAGTGACTTTTGTTTATTTTTTTTTATTATTAAAAATGATACTTTTTTACTATTTTTTCGAATTTTTTCGAGAAATATATGGTTATTTTTAATATTTTTTAATATTTTTGTTTTTAACACTTTCACAACCCAAAACTTTTTTTAAGAAGAAAAATAAGTAAAAAGGAAATTGTCCAAATCATTTTTTATTATTTTTATTCCAAAACCCCTTTCCAACCCAAACCGGCCAATAGACAGTTTTATTTTACTTAAAATAATTAACAAATGAGAACTCAATTACCTAAGATTGATCAAAAATGATCTTTTTGGACGAAATTTCATATCGCTTTATTGTGTTTCAACATTAAAACAAAAAACGCTACATCGTCAATCCACTTTATGACAAACAACGTCAAATAGTCGCATTAACAAATATAACGACTTTATAAAATTTATTCTCGTTATAATCAAATGATAATATTCTCTTTATAAAAAAACAACCAAATATATCAAACCATCATTAGGCCTAATTTTTTTAAGCTTTGCTCTTGTTTTACACAAACAAACTCATTCACTTTAAGTGTGAATATAAAATATACAATTCAAAATTGAGTTGATAAAAAAAATAAAAATTTTCAAAAAATTGTTTTGTGTATGAAGGCAAAAAAGGGTTTAGGTAAAAGAAAAAAATAAAAACTTATTATTATTACGTTTCTGTTTTGAACGTGTTAATCAAATTATTTTTAACAAATTACCAACTATTTTATTTATGTTTTATATTCCTTGTTTATCACAACCACAATTTGTTTATCACGATTGTCTATCCACACTACCATTTTTTTGTTCAGGATCAAGTAGTTGGACCATCTAAAACTGTTGAAATACAAGAAAAAACAAATTTATCACAATTTGATACTAAAGTTCGAGTCAACATAACAACAATATTAAGCACACGTGGTACTTATTTGCCTGTTGTTGATGATTGTGTGTATTATAAAGACGGAGCTTCACATGATGTTTTTAAATGCAGCTGTTATTCCAATGGCTGTAAAGTTAAAATCCGCATTGTTGAGTCAACTAAAATTGGGAACGAAACTCAATTTCTTTCTTACATAATGGTTAACAATTATACTCACAACCATCACACTGGCTCTCATTTACAAAAAGTTCAAGCTATTCAAGAAATTACTAAAAGAGCATTTGAACAAAGTCCATTGGTTCCACCATCGGTTGGAATGGCTGGGTACGACTATACGAAATATCAAGGTAGGCTTTCAAGTAGTAAAAAACTATACCGAAAAAAACGAAAGCAGTTCCATGATTTAACGAGTTTACTTGAAGAAAATGATCATTATAACGAGCTCATGTTATTTAGAAATGATACATGTGCTATTTTTGGTAATAAAGAAAAACTTGTTAATTTTCAAAACATTACACAATTTTTAATGGATGGAACATTCAAAGCTTCACCGGAACCATATTATCAAAGTTATACAATACATGGTATACTAAATAATGGTGAATGTTTTCGACTTTTTCATTGTTTATTAGTGGATAAAAAATGGAAACGTACGAAATGTTAATTGAAACTATAATGAAACTTGCTAGTGATTTGGGATTTATAATGTTTGGAAAAGGAACTATAACAATGGTAGATTTTGAATATTCTGTTATAAAAGCACTCGAGTCAAAAACTAGCACAACGGTCAAGGGTTGTTTGTTTCATTTTGGTCAATGTATATGGAGGTTTTGTTGTATGAATGGAATGAAAAATAGATTGAACAACGACATTGAATTTATTGAAGCTATTAATCAATTGAAATCACTCGCCTTTTTAAAAGAAAATGAAATCGAAAAGCAGTTTATTAATAAGTATAACGTTATTAAATTAAGTGATGACAATCATTTAAAAATTGTTTATGAATACTTTAACAACAATTGGATATTTGGATTGTTCAAACCAAATTTGTGGTGCCAACACATTCAAAACCTTAGGACTAACAACAATGCGGAAAGCTATCATTCTGCTTTTATAAAAAGGACAATGAAAACAAAGCCAACACAATGGATGTGGATTGAATGTGTCAATCAGGTAGAAACAGAAGAAAAACAGAGATACCAAACAATGATTAATGGAAATTTAACAAGAAAAAACAAAAATATTCAATTCACAACAAAAAGATTAAAAATATCACTAACAATTATTATTCAAATGTGTGCTCAATCGAACAATTTTCAACAAGTATCCCAAGAGTTCTCAGCGATTTCAAGGATGAAAACAAATATGGA